GCTGCAGTCATGATTCGCTTCCGCATATGCTGGACCCATGGGCGATCCTTACGTGGCGCACTGGGATTGGGCTCGGGAGTATCTATTAGCCAAGGGCTGGGGGATTGGAAAAGAAGAAGCTTGCTGTAAAGGGCCTGAATAAACCGCTGAAGGAAGAGCTGTGTGTTGCGTCTTCCTTGCTGGCGAGGTCGTGCGCAACACAACCTCTCTGACATTCTATTTTTTTTAATGTATTTGGTACAGGGTCTCACTACGCAGCTCAGACCTGTAGTGATCCTCCTGTTTTAGCCTCCCCAGTGCAGGAATTACAGGTGGGCCACCACACCCAGTCTACTTACTTTAAGCGTGCGCGCGCGCGCGCGCACACACACACACACACACCGTTTTCCAAACATGTACATACACTCTAGGCTTTCCTGTTTGTTTTTTGTTTTTTTGTTTTTTTAAAGGGATTTCTTCTTCCTAAAATTGCCTCTGCCCAAAATCTACCTGTTAAAAAATCCTAGCCATTCACTGATGGTGCTGTATATGTTGTTATCTGTAATTCTGGCTTTCTCTATAATTGGTAGAATTATCTCTTTTTTAAAAACCTGGTACATGGCAAACATAAATGCTGTGAATGGGTGGTAGCAGTGGAAACCAGGCCTGAGCACATACTTGGATGACAGAAAGCTGTTTCACCAGGTGCCTCTTGGGCCTGACAGGGAGCACACACAAAAGGAAGAGACAAGGGCAGGTGGACCGCTTTCACCACAGCCAGCTCAAGTGACTAAAGCAGATGTAGTGCAAATGTTGCAATCAAGTACTACAGATACACTGCTGCCTGTTTGCCTAAAGGGTCACATGGCAGTGTGGAGCCAAAGGCAGGACTCTGTCCTCATCTTGAATTCCTGTATCAGCCACAGAAAGGGTCCAAGTTTTCCCAGTGTGTGTGAACAAGGATGGACAGGTTGTGCCTTCTTCTGTGTTAGTCCACAACTCCTGGGTACAGGTATCAAGGCTCAAAGTTAGTGCTTCTCTTTTCAGTCTGTGTTCCCTGCTGCCAGCAGCAGGCTTAGGACGGACAGGGGAATACCTGGGCCCCTTGTCCCACAGCAGAGTGCCCAGCCTGAGCCTACCTTTAAACATTCCAAAAGCTCTTCAACACTAACAAAGTGTCCAAGAAAATCCACAGGGTGGCACACAGTCCCACCAAGCAGGATGTCACCTACAGTTGCATGGGCAGAGGGGCACAGGTAGCTCCTAGAGGAGCTCTGCTGTCCTCAGCTGGGTACCAGGCCTGGGAGGGCCACACAGGGTCATAGAGGCAATGTAGCTGTCCTGCATGATCTCAAAGATCATCTACTGAAGACCAAAGCAAAATGTGGAGTCAAATGGGTTGGTGACCTATGCAGGATAAATGACTGGATCAGGGGATGGGGATGAGGACCTATGCAGGATAACAGGCTTCTCCACAGGATGGCCCAAGAGCTCATGGATATGTCCCACTTGCTATAGGTTGTGCAAGTTTCTATTTGACCATCTTCATTTTCTTTCTTTATGGTTAGTGGGATCTTGAACTCACAGTGGTGATAAATATCATGCTCAGAATAATTAGTATGTAGAACAAACTTCTTCACTTCGTGTGTATTTGTATTGGAGATGTCCACTCCAAGAGTGAATTAAAATATTAGTCATTGTACTTGGATGGAATCTGTTTATGAGAAGAATGCATTTTCATCTTGTCTTCTGATTTATAGGAGACCTTATGTGGAGAGCCAAGCATGCGAAGAACATCTTGGCAGGAATCACCAAAATACACAGAATGTTCAAATATCTGCATCTTAGCCTCTGTTAATAGACCAGGTCCGCAACCTGCATCAAGTAGGCGAAGTTGTAAACCTGAGGGTCCAGTTCCATCACAAAGAAGATCTATACTCTCAGCATATACACTGCCCAGGAAACAGCTCAGTGGCATCATGGGAGCCATGGTATCTTGTAGGCTGTTACCACTATAGATGTACATTAGTTTTACAGTTGCTCCATGGGGGTATCTGGAGAGAAGCTAGACCATGAGCAAAATTGGGCTCATACTTGGGAGCTTTAGTCCA